TGCTTCATAATTTAGCGGTTTGTCTGTTGCGGTGTTTCACCTTTCGGATAGCACATTAGTTCAATGCTTTCTTTGTCAGTTACAAGTTCATTGTATAAAAATGACATAAATTACTTCAACATTCAACGAGCGATTCAAAACCATATTTACCGTCGTTCAGTGTTATGTTAAATATCATGTCAATTTTTCTTCGTCAATCTTCTGTTTAAAAAGCAAATTTTAGTTAAGCACTTAACTATGTTTTCGTCATTAGGCAAAAAGTTGAATCGAGAAAAAAAATTAGTTAAATTTGAACTATGTGGAACTATGGCATGAATAGGAAAATAGCCTCAACTTTTTTTTTATTAAGCATCAAAAGCGAATAATTCAAATACTCTTGTTGAAGTACCACTTTGCCTCGTTTTTTCGTTCACTTTGCTCGTGTTTTTATAGTTGACTAGTTCATCAGATTTCCGGTAAAATGCGGAAATAAAATGAAAACAAAATCCATAAAAATCGGTCAAATTGCAGTTTGAACATCAGAAAAAGTTTAACGAATGGCTTAAGGTCGGGCCAAATGAAACAAAAACAATAGCAATCGGAAAAGAAAATCATTTGTCATAAAATCTAAAATTCATTTTACGCCATTGCTTCAATGGGTGCTTGCAAAACCTCTCTCACTCTCTTCGATCCATTATATATGATTGTGTGTGCGGGTGTGCAGCACCAAATGTATATTGCCGGCAAAGTATTACGAACGATGACAGATTTCACATTGAATTTTGCACTGATTTCGGATCATTGGTATTAAAATCCCTCGAAAACTCGCTGCCACACTGAACTGACTCGTTATAATCTATGTGAGATAAAAATTACTATTTATTAGCGCCTGACATTTGGTGTTCAGATCGTTGCTTTTCTTCGCCCAATGCTCCTGGATGCTGTCGCTCGATTTGAAATGTGCAAGTACAAATATTGCGTCATCAAAATCCGAAATGTGACTATTATTTCTACTTTATCATGGCAAACGGTGGAAAAATTGGTGAAATGGAAAAAAACGAAGCAAAGAAAAGTCATGCGATGAACAATAAAGGCTGAAATACGGAATTTTGTTAAGCTGATACATTGACAACGACAAGAAAAGACGACATTCATAGAGCACTATTGTTGGTGCCCCCTTCTCTCTCTCTCCCTCCCAATACTTAGTTGGTAAAATAGACGGTCGTTGATTTTTACACGGGGGCTTAAAATTCAAAAGTGCAAAGGAGCAGCAATGGCAGTAACAATAGCTGAATTCAGAGAAGGCACGAGCTCAAGATACAATAAAACGCAAACACACTTCGGAAGGATGTAAAAATCGCTTTTTACGATTTTATCTGTTAAATTTCATCTATAAAATGAGAGAGAATGTAGTCGACACGAAAATGAGAATGGTCTTCGGTCTCGCACCATCGATTCGGCAGATTCCAAACTTTTTCTCTTCGTCTCTTCATTCTTCTGATTCGTTTGGTTTGATTATGTGTGTGTGCGTCGATGTCTGTCCATTCGTTTCATTTGTTCATTTGTTTTTCAGCAATTGCACTTCGAAAAATTCCCATCATTTTTAATCACATCGAGTTCAAGTGGCAAAATTCGCTTTTAACATTTTATCGAAATGAAATAGAACGAAAGAGAATCGCCGATGGAAGAAAAAAAAAATTCAACCGAAATAAAAATCGAAATGAGATAATTGATGCGCGTACAATGAACATGGGATAGATATGCTACCGTCACTGACACCACCGATGCTGATATTGCTGCTGCTGATGCCATTTTCGATTGGCTCGAGGTGAAAAGAAGCATTTACACGGCAAATCACTGTGTCTTTATTTTAATACAATGGCTAAATTTACCCACACACACACTCTCTTTCTTTCCTTCCTTCGGTGTGCCGTGTAAAAATTCCACGAAGCAAAAACAACGAACCGCTTTATAATACAGTGCATATCGCTTTCGGAGATAATTACCCATTCAACATAATTCAAGCAATCGCAACCACCATAGAATCGTAGATAATAACAAGAAATTGGTTTTTGTGGTTTGGTCGAGAGCGATTCGGATAATATTATATTCACCACCACTTAAAGATGAAGACGATATTGCCGACGAAGGAGAGTGAGATATTGCATATTGATTTATTCATGATTATCATTATCGAAAACAATAGGTCTTCGTTTTGCATTTCAATTTCGTAACTGAACGAGCGTTGCGAAATGAATGGTAAGAAGACGAAAAAAATATCTCATTAGCGATAAATATATTTTTTTTACAAAAGTGAAGAAGGTGCATATAGTTCCATTTGGCCATTATTCTTTGGAGTTTATCATCAACGAAATCCATAATTAAAATGAACGTAAAACACTTGAAATTTTAATCAAGAGAATAAATTTCAATAAATACAACCATCACTTCACCGCATTTAAGATGGAACATGGACTCTTCTAATGCATTCATAAGTACAGAATAATGAGAGTACAAATTGTGGAGAAAATCTACGATTATTTTAATGATGATTAAAATACAAAATGTCCATTTTTTCATAGATAAAGCCATAAAAATGAGACGAAAAAACCCAACAACACTTTAAGTTGCTTCGTTTAATGAGAATTTTCAAGTTGATTTGTCAAAATTCAGAGATTTTTTTTTTTTTTTGAATATCATTTGAGATCCAAAGTATATTCTTTTTATTGTTTGTTTCATTAAAAGCAGTGTTGACAATACTATTATGAAATTCAAACGGATAATTTTGTATTTGGGCTCTTTTGCTCCAGGTAAATGGCGTTGCAGTTCCGGCCCAAACTTTTTTTCACTCTGTTGTTATCGTCATTGTTATTGAGTGAGACTCGGAGCATATAGCATAGATATGTGGTAATGGCCTTTCACAATGCAAACCATCGAATAACATAAAACTTTTCGTCTGCTTTGAATATGAATATATTGCATATCCGGTGTACTCGAAGCATAATTCAAAGGCGATTCGTGCGATACGTACATGCATTGCAACACGCAATGCACGATTATCAGCCCTTACAGTCGCACACACAAGCGTATGTATGACACGTATCATATATACAGCGATTGTAGGCAAATAGAACGAAATAATTCCACTTCGATTGAATAATGGGCCAGAAAGGCATTCAATCTATTATTCATGCCCATTTATTTGTTGTATGTGTATGAATATGTCGCTTCTTTCTCTCTCTCTCTCTCTCTCTCTCTCTCTCTCTCTCTCTCTTGCTTCCCATCTCTCAGTGTTTGTACGATAGTAAAATGGACATCATTTTTATTGTATCATATGCATTATGTGTTCGGTATTTGGATTTATATCATCCACATTTTGTCATCATTCATCATAAAATAATTTGTTATAGGAACTTATGAGAGTGCAAAAAATGAGCGGAACAAAACGAACAACAAAAAGTCTGCATTCAAAAAAGGAGACAAAAAAAGTTTGTCAAAAACAATTAAAACAAATCATGTACAAAAAAAAGGCAGGCGAAAAATGGTAGACATTGAATAAATAATGTACAATTGAATAGCGTTTTGAAATTCAGTATACAAACGCGTCTTTAAAAATGTCATCATCAGATTTAAAGTATTTGAAGTGCTAAAATGCAGTACCACTGTCGTTGTGATCACTCTTTACATTGTTTTTTCTTCAACAAAATCATGTCATTACATAGCTTCTGTTATTCTCGTCAAATACTTTCTAAATCGTTTGACAAATGTTTTTATTGTTTTCCGGCTCATTCTTCATTTGAATTTTATAGTGTTTGTTAACAAGACGTTGCAGTGAACGTGATACAATATTTATATAATACCATAATCAGATTCAGCAGCACGCTGAGAAAATAAAGACCCATTCTCGTTTTATTCTTATTCAATGATGTTGTCGTCATTGTTATTGTTGTTATTTGTTCGTTTGAATGAAGATTCACGCGAGATTTTCTTTATCGTGTGAGAGAATGAGCGCGAGCGCATCAAGCTGTTGTCTTTTTGCGCTCAATATGTTTCGGCATATATGCAAACTCACACACCAGACAAAACAACAGAAAGTACTGATATACCGAAATTATTCCGCTTTTCGTTCAAAGCCGTCACGAGTTGTCGTTATTTGTAATATTAGACTTCTACCCATGGTTGAACACAAAAAAAAAGCAAAGAAAGAGAGAGAAAAAACACACCAATCTCATAAATAAAATCTAAATCCAAATCATAATCATGTTTATCAGTGTTTCTCACTCTTTGTGTTTTTAACATTACTGCTCCAAAAAAAACAGTCCACTTTTTTTCTCTATTTTCCCGTTGCGCTATTCTCTCTTTGAGCAATTATTATTATCATGCATGTTTATCCATTTTTTTGCTGTAATTTTCTGCTATTCAAAAGAAGTGAACGAAAAAAAAATTCAACGAGAACAACAACAACGACGACGACAGCTGAAAAGATTTTTGCGTTAATTCTTAAAATGCTCCAGATTTTCATGCTGAGCACGGGAGTGTTTATTCCGATAAAAATGTTATTTACGTGAAATGCAAACGAAGTATCCAATGGGGTCTTTTTCTCTCATCTCCGTCAACCGAACAATATTACTATGACCAAGCATTCTCTACGAGACGAGAGTATTGTTTGTGTGAAATGCCCACCAGATATTATTTTATGCACTACTTCCATTTTTTCTTCTTCTTCTTTCCATATTTTGCTTACTTCGTTTCGTTATCATTTTTTGTGCATGTGCTTTACAGTTTTAGTGTAACATTGTTGATATGCTGTAGATTTGTCTAGATGCATTTGCACTGTGTGTTTGTTGTTGAGATTTTGTTAAATTCGAAGTATTTACTTCGTTATTGGCCAAATGCACTTGGATACTCGGACATGTAGCTGTGTGGCAGAAAATGGTTAATTGTTTTCGATTTTCGACCATTGAAAATGCAGTAAAATATATTTTAAGCATACCAAGAGATAGAAAACATACAAATGTTACCTTTCGAAATGGATTGTGAATGAGAGGAAGGGAAGCTCCCTGGTCGATGGTCAACCGATGCTGAATAAACGGTAGATGTGTGCAATCCAGATTGGAAAAACAGTTATTTCCAAGCAGTCAAATTATGCAGTTTTTCCTCTAACGCTTGCTTCAGGGCCTGAAAAAGAAAACGCAAACACTTTAATTGTCTGTCGATATGTTCACACAAAGCATATACGAAAGCGGTACTATACGAAATATATATAAGAAGATTGGAACGTAAATTTTTTTCGAAAAGACTTTTACTATGGGAATCGGCTTAAGCGATCTATAAGCTTAAACATTTGGCTAATGGGTAGTGATGATAGATTTTCAATGAATATTTCAAATAGTGTCGATGCATTTAGTCTCTGCTCCATTGGATAGATCGAATGGTGCATGTATTCGTGCAGATGGGCACGCCATCATGCTGTGGATAGTGTTTTCATGATGAGAGGATCGAGATTCAATTTTAAGATAAAATCTATTGTAAAACCATAAGTATGAATTCGTTTATTTATTGAACTCATTTTGTCGATTTGGACAGGTTGATTTGTGTTTGTTTCGTTTAACTTTCGGTTCGTTGAATGTATCACGTTAGATCGGAAATTTGATTTGAGGTTTCTTTGACTGTGATCGAACCGAAGCGAAAAAAGATAGAGAGAAAAAAATGTCCCGCAATGTATGGATTGCAAAATTTGTATTGCAAACTGCCAATTTTCGTTTATATATATATCTGATTTTGTACTTTCCAATAGTAGATTTGTCAGAGTACATGCGGAGAAAGAGAGATATTTATCATTTGTATAACGAGAAATGGGAGTGCGTGAGTGCTTGGATAACGATTTGCAGTCGGGTGGTTTTTTGGTTGTTGGATCGGTACCGTTATTATCACATCAGGTGCGTGTTGGATCGGATTTTTGGTCAGTATTAAATGCATCAACCGTAAAATCCATGATCGAATCATTTTTGCATGTTCAATTTTAAACTAGTTTTTTTCTTCTAATTAATGGTGCCTTCTGAGTTAGTCAATACAGTTGATTGAAAATAGGCGAGAGAGAGAGAAAGAGAAATGTGAAAATGCGATTTGTGAATGAGAATTTCTTTCGATTTTCCAGTGGTTCATTTGCAAAATGAACTGCACTATATGTTGGTTGCACAATTTGCTGTACATTTATTTAATGCTCTCAACACGAAACAGATTGAAAAATCGTTTCGTTTTAAACATTCGAATGAAATCAAAAACTCATTTATGGCAATACATTCAATACGGTGAAGAGGTCATCATCAATATGAGCATGGTGCTGATATGTTCATTGCTTAAGGTGGAAAAACCATAGCAACAACCACAAATGATCCATATGCTAGAAGATATCAACCAATGAAAATGTACATTATTTTCTATGAAAATTGGTCAGTTATATTCGGTTGGAAATGTGCAACTGCAGTCAGTTGTTCTCTCTTTCCATTTAATTTCCATTTGTTTATTTGCCATTTTCATTTGTGTGTGTGTTTTTTTCTAATTTTCTTTCCCCTCATTTATATCGTCATCGTCGTTGTCGTTGTTGTTGATGTAGTTGTTCCAGTTTTGCCCGTTTGAAGTTTTATAATATGAAATGTGTATGTGTGTGTGTTGAATGCAATGTGAAAACTGAGATTGCAGCACACAAAATGGAAAATAAATTCGTGACCGTAGCTCATTTGCAGCAAATTCCGGAACTTTGCTTGCTTATCAAAAGTAGTAGTAGAAACAATTGAAGCAGAAAAAAACAACCACTTGCATTCACTCTCACAGCGCAACAACTGCAATATGTAATAATAACAATAAACAAAATATACCGAATAATACTTAATTCGTAAATGTATAAAGGCTAGACTAATGTGCGCTAAAACAACAACATAACATATCTGGACGAAAAACCAGAAACCGAAAACAGCCAAAAACTGCACACACCAAAAAAAACGTGCATTCACAATGAAAATTTACTAGCGGGCAATTTGTTTTCGAGTCAAATAATGGCAAGCATCTGTTTTTATAGGCGATGGGGTTCTACATTTTTTTCTTTTCTTCCTTTTTCGCCGTTGTTGTGCACGCTTCAAAATACATTGCACTTCTTCATGAATCCATTCCGAATTGTTAGCAACAAATAAGCGAACGAATGGAATAACAGCACACATCATTCGAACTGTGTGTGTGTGCTTTCAAAAATGGATTATATCTTTCTCGGTTGGTTGCAAAATTGCGATTCTCATTTTGACGGTGCCTTACTCTCAGTTGTTGGCCAACAGCACGGATTTTACAAAATATAATGCTACTGTGGCTAACGATACACAAATTCGCGGGCATAAACTCGCCTTCATTCATCCAAATCATTCTGTCTCTTTTCAACTGAAGCATTAGAATTACACTAAAACACCCTCTCACACACACACATACGTACATCCAACGAACGAAACATATGAGCAACTCCATTTCAACTTGTGCTCTAGCCTCATCTTCCGCTATTGCCACTGACGCCGCCACCAATGCCATCCAATGCCATCCAATGAATGCCAGCACTACCGTTTCGTTGTAAATGCCACACAACTTTATATTATGCAGCATTTCGTGCATTACAAACATACTCTCGTCTCTCTATGCACAAACGAAGAGAAAGAGGCAAAGCAAAAGTAGAGAAAGAGAAAAATAGTATTTTCCCAGCTCACTTATGTTCGAACTTAAAGCAAACAAGCGCCCGGCAAAAGCATACATATTACACTTATGTGAGACCATTTATAAACATTTCAAATTTCAACCAGATTAACTTTTCCATAAATTTTTCATTCACTTTTCCTTCCAGTTATTTGTTACTTCTGTGTTGCACAGAAACAAAACCGATGAGAGAGAGAGAAAAAGAGAAAGAGACGAAGACAGAAAGAATGAGAGAGAGAAAAAGGGATGGGAATGAGTTTGTAATGTTAGTGCCGCGAACATATTCGTTGTCCGTATTTATTTATTCCATTTATGGAGACATATTTGAATTTGCTAGTTTTTAGTCAGATATAGAGAGAGAGGACAAAGTTCCATGGCGGATCGTGTATTGCAGTCATCGTTGGTCTTAAACCATATTCCTTGTCACCGCTTTTTGCAACTTCGTGTTGGATTTTTTTTTTTCATTTCGGTTCACTTTGCTACTTGTCTGGCATAAGCTTTTTGCCAGAGTTCCTGTAAACATTTCCATCGTTAATGTATTCATACCTCAGCCGAACATGGCCACACAATATTCGCATTATAGATGGACGACGTTCGGGGTGTATGTTTTTTTTTAAATTATTCTATTGCTTCTTCGCGCTCAATTTTCTCTGCACTTTGTGTGCACTCCTCTCTGTCTACCGCAGTATAGTCGTTAACAATTCTTGCAAATGTTGCTATACTCTATGTATTCTTAACTCTGATGCAATCGAATATGAAACGTGTGTATTTGTACGGTAGCTTGTCTCTTTTGTACTCATTTACCCCCCATTACTTTGCAAAGTTTCACCTCGCACATTGTTGTGTGTTTTGAATTCTTGTAGAAAAAATTTACGAAAAACGTGAAAGAGAGAAAAAGAGATGGAGACCGATTGAGCATATGAAATGGTGTGCCACCAACGCGCCAGAAGCATAACCAAGCAGCACCCAACAAGAAGCACAAGCACATTTTAATGGCAAATCATTTTCAAAACCATGTAGGTAAAAGTGCACTACATAAAACTTTGAACATAATACACATTCTCGCCGAATGCAGCATGCAAACGCCGTACGTTGGCTCATGTATCGTTAGTTGTATCACCTAGCTTCGATGTTGTGAATGACTGGCAAAATTGTTGTTGTTTCAGTTTTGGTTCCAATTGCTGCTGCTGCTGCTGCTCCTTCTATGGTCTTATTGCTTTGGCAATTTTCTTTTGACTTTTATTTCCTTCGCAATTTTGTGCAACGCCGCCGCCGTTGCTGATTTTTTTTGTTATCCATCTCTCACACTCACCTGATATTTTACAGCATACATGGTAGTTCGAAGGAATGAACGAAGAACCTTCAATTCATGTGGAAAAAAGGTCTAATAAAGATGTATAGTGTATGTAAATGTGCAATGGCAACTAGTCGCGAGCAATTTTAAACGTTTTTTTCTCGATTCTTATCCAATTTTCTGATGGTGTGTTTGCCATTTTCTAACGTTTGCATTTTCTTTCGATTTCTATTTCGATGATTTTTTGCGGCTTGGGTCTGTTTTTGGAACTTAACTAAAATGAAGAGAGTCCATTGCGATAAAAAGGTGCACAATGACGACGTTGATGGCGATTTTGGCGGCGGCAGTCAGTGGCCAACGTATTATGAGATTGAAAATAAAAGATAGAAAATGATGGGCTTTTCGTGCCGTCATCTAATATTCATATAAATATATTTCTCCCCTCCGTTTTTTTGTTGGCTTCCATTTGTTTTCGTCGTCGCGTTCCTTCCATTCTTTTTTTTGGGTTCTTCGCTTTTGTATTTAGATGTTTGGTTCTTCACCTTGTACAGAGAAGAGGTTTTTCTTGGCGATTGTCCTGCACATAAAAAATTGAATGCATTCACTGCCGTTTGTGTGCGATTTATTTTCACAGTTGAACGTCAAAGTCGTTTCTTGTGCTGGCTGCTTGCAATACAATATTTTAACTCTTTTTTTCTCTACATGAGTTTCTACTTGCTCGTTTGTTTTTTTTTTCGCTTATGTGCTCTTCTTTCAATCGCATGAATTTGTTAAAGTTTTGCTTTGCCAGCAAAGGTATTCTGTTTCGCTGTATTCTTATTTCAGTGTACGGGCAATCGTGTTTACTTCAGTTTCTATATCGTTTTTTCTCTTTCTCTCTCTCTCTTGCTCTATGAGTTTTTTGGTTTTGCAGCATATTTTATTTTAATGTGCATCCGCATTGAATGCATCCAAACAATGAAAGTGTAACCGAACCAAATGCAATCAAGAAAAAAATCGAAGAAAGTTTCGTTTTCTCACAAACGAGCCAAAGAAAAAAACAGCGACCGTATAAAAAATGAGAAGGATATTGTGCGGCAACAACTGATGATCTACACCAACAGTCGCCGTTAAAAATAACAACTGCACAAAACTTATGCAATTCCAACTGAAG